AATAATAATAATAATAATAATAATAATAATAATAATAATAATAATAAAAAGAAAAAGAAATAATAATAAAGGAACCTCAGATCTTGATGATTTTTTTCCTTTATGTGTTCACAACACGCAAAATCCAAGTGATTTCGAGTGTTTTTTTTTTCTATACCCGTTCAACCCCATTCGGAAAATAAAGCAATGAAAATGTGTATTTCAGTCGACAAGGTGGAAAAGCACAGTTCGAGACGATCGAACTTTTCAACTTAGGTTACATGTTTTCCATTTTTTCTGTACGTTACCGCTAATGCTACCGAAATAAACATGAAAAATATAATAAAAAATAAAAATGTGCCGCGAATAGTTATCCTTGGTTCGATTAACACATTCCCCCATTTACGTCATTCACATTCAGCGCGAACTTATTAAAAATAAATAAATAAAATTTTAAAAACCTCAAGTACTTGCTTGACGGCTAATCACTCAATTTTCGATCTCAAACTCGTTCACATCCTTATTTAACCCCTCCAAATGTCAAACACGGCTGGTGTTTAGTGTAATATACTTATAATATTTTAATCGTTATATACAGACCTATTATCTAAACGTAAAAATAATTTATGAACGAAAAAATGTAAACACATCAATTTTAAAACATATTTTCTTCGAATTTTTATTTTATACAATATTGGAAAGCTTGTGTAAGGCTCGAGAAGCTCATCACTAACTTGTAAGAATTGAAGTGTTAATAGTTATATAATTTTCATCCGTAGCGTTAAACGAATCAGATTCTAAATAACTTTAAAATGAATCATGATAATTAAATCATATTATAAACATTTGTGGTGTACGCCAACAGAAAACGTTATATTATAATATAACTAAAAGATTAGTTATTCTTGGGAAAGGGAGAGACCATCAAAAACCGTAGTATACGTTATAAAATGTATACAAGATTCAGTGGCATATTTAGAGGAGCCGAGCTTCTTTTGTAGCCCCTTTTGTATTGTAAATCTGTACATAATACTTGCTCGTATTTCATTATACTGTGTTTTATTTTTATTATAAAATCAAAAGTGAAAAAATGTTCATAGAAGATTAAAAATTCGTGTTAAGAAAAAAGTAATCGACTCGAAAGAGTGTAATTTTTTTGCATGACATTGACGACAGTATTCGAGTTGTATAAAAATATTGTTTTCAATAACACGCAGGATGGCCGCTTGACAAAATTAACCACTCGGACCGTATACATAGGTATGTTACTCATGATGTGGATTGGAATACGAACGGCAATAGGGGAAAAATACGTTTCCAGTGCAGAATGTTCGTTAACAATTTATTTAAAACGGACGCGTGTAATCACAACAATACAATCGCATGGCAGGTAACGACGGCCGAGCACTGTGTTCATTACAAATGTAGTCGAGAGCAACGGAATATCACGGAACGAATAATGATATTATCGCGCGGATAGGTACCTCTATTCAGACGGATCGCGACGAGTGTAATCTCAACGGGTAAATAATAATGTTCTCCAGTCGGCGTGCATACCCACCCGCCCACTCGAAACGCCGTCACGCGGTCACACTCCCGACCCCCTGCAGATGACATTTGGAATCAAAGGGATTTGCGGAAACTCGTTGCTTTGATTAATTATCATGCTTTACCGGATACGACAAAACAATTGGGTTAAAATATAAAACTAAAATAAAAACGACGCAATAATTGATTATGCGTTGGACCAGAAACGGGCCCTTTCTCGACTTGAACACGGACGACGACATTATTATTACTACTACTACTACTACTACTACTACTACTACTACTACTACTA